CTAACACATTTGCAAATTTTGCGTTGGTTAAAAAGAGACCAATATATAAGGCCATAAGTTGGAGGAAGACGGAAGATCATATGTACACAAATGTTTACATCAGATTTTTCACACTGCCCTTTAGAATGTGATAGAAACTTGTAGGTAGCCAGTGACAGAAATCTCTATCAGCCTTGCCAGTCAAATGATTTGTCAAATGATGGTCACTGTTCTTGCAGGGTAGGTTATTTATCACCTGATTTGTTAATCAACTATTTCTTATCACAATTAAAATAATCTTTAACCTTTATTAATTTATTGACTTCCTGTGCAAATTTAGTGCTGTAATATCTTTAAAATCACAATGTCTCAAACACTGAGGAAAGAAAATCAAAAATTACAGTTCACTGAGGATATTAAAACTAAATTAAATTAATCGATTATCGATTCACAGCAACAAAGTCGTCAAAAGATACACAGCAGCCATGGTGGAGTAATAACATGGTGTCAGTAGCGACGTATTTGTTGTAATTTTGACAAGGTCGGCACCCTTTTATTTTTCTTCGCCTCACGGCTTCATATGTAAAATGGCTGCTGTTGATTGGTTGGAGCAATTGATTGTTTATTGTTTTCTGTTCTCTTTCGCATCCTTCGTATGAAACTTTTGACAGTCCTCGCCGCAAAAGCAAAACAAAATACATGTACATTTTGTTATTGGCGTACCGATACCACCTTATTGAATAAGGCCTGTTTGCAGCTCTCAAGAAAAGCAAAAACTCCATATAAAATGATGTACAAGAAATGGCTAAGAAATTTTCTTGAGTCAAATTTCCTTAAGGCAGTACGGAGTTCTTAAGGAATTTGCTACGCTTTCTACTACGGTTTTCTAAAATATTTGTGAAAAAAGAGCACAAGGCAACCCAGGTTTGTAACAGAAATATATGCCCGTTCCGTTATTTCTTGAGGAAAGAGTGAGGCAACAGGCTATGAAGTAACAAAAATGTCAAAATTCCTTGAACACACACACGAAATAATGGCAAATTTTTCTTGACCGTTTTCTTGAGAGCTGTATACAGGACAATACGACTGATCGGCATGCTTATATTCAGTGCTGCCGATCTTAATTTTCATACTACTATTCGTTGGGAAATAGTATCTAGAATATTCCATTTTAGTAATACGCTTTATCACGATTTTAAAAGATTTTGGTGTTTTCAGAATGACATTAATATTTAAATTTGATGGATTTGTATAATTTTTGTCCTCAAAATTAAAAAAAAAAATAAAAGATATCGTGGTTATCAATGTTAAATAACTTTTGTTGCATTGTCATAATATTGAGCCAAATGGACTACTGATACACTAAAATAGAGTGGCTGCATGGTTAAATTAGGAATTCGCTTATATTATCGATATTTATGTGTTTTAATCTATTTAAAAAATCATTTACAGTCTTATAGGAAATTGCCTATTTTACCGCCTTTACTTTTTTTAAGTTACAATATATGTCCAAGCTGTGTGGAGCTGCCGATATAAACATATGTATATTCAGGCATATAAGCCTGTAATTATACATTTTCTACATTTAATTTGAAATAGTATGCACCGACGGATTAATAGTAAATAAGTACCTTTTCTTCTACTTAAAAATGCGTGACCGGAATACACCTGCCGAAAAAGAGAGATTTACTTAAATGCTTCCTTTTTGCTGTAAAATTGAAGATGTATGAAAACTAAAATATTGTGGCGAATACTGCGGCAACGCTAAGCGAACAACAAGAAAATGGGAGAATGTTCGAGGAATGGCGTAGAACGTTCAACAGTGAAAAACGTATACCGCGCCCATCTCTAATAGCTAGTGTTAAAAGCTAATGGCCTTATTCATAAAAAATAAAACATCTTTAAAAAAGGTTTGTAAACTGAAAAAAGTAGGAAAACGTTATTTTATAAAGACCTTTAAGCCTACTTTGTTTTTTATGAATAAGGCCATACATTTTTAGAAAAGTGACTTCCAAGGTGCGTTTTAAAATACTGACAAGTTTTAACATATTTTTTTTTGATTCATTAATTTTAGAATTTTTTATGAAAATAAACATAGTTAATTCTTTAACAAATCCCATATGAATCCATATTCCAAACTTGGTGCAATAATTAAAAAATCAACAAACTTTCGTAAAAAATCTGACTTTTTGATTCGATGCTTAGTAAGATTTAGAGTTTGCATTTGCTTCCATATAACGAATAAACATAATTTATTTTTGTGTGGAAGAAAACCGTAAGATATTCGACAAAAAATTCAGTCCGTCGGGCGGGAATGGAGGGTAAAAAGCCGTTGGGATTAATTAATTAATTAATATAGCATGGTTTAGCGTATATGTACGTATACGAATGCGTGCGTTTGACAGTTGAGAGTTGTATACATATGTTCTTATGGGATAAACCCCATACGAATACGCATTCGAATGCGCCCAGAGTTGAATTTCCTAAACTTTCTTGCATTTGCTTGCGTAGGCAACCAACTTCAAGTTAATTACACTACACGTTTGAGTATACATATGTATACATATACCAACATATTTTGATAACAGAATTTTTGCGGCTTGGTAAGAATTTTCTTTTTAAATATGTATAAAAATATGTGTGGATGCTGCATCAACTTATCGAAATCACAACTGACAAACGCGTGTAAGCGCAAATTATGGAATTGCTGTTTTTTCGCACGTAATCGCATGTCAACGGATCTCGCATACGCACGCATACGCTATCCTATGGTGTTCCAGCTTTAGAGAAAAACTATCGATAATGATGGGAAAAGCATCAATGGTGGGGAAAAATTTAAAACATCGATACTACCGACAGTACCATCGATTGTTTTCCAGCTCTACAGCACTGGCACATACTACTGCTATTTGTAGTGATAGAACTTTTTAGAAAGGTATCGATACTAGTACTCATATAGAATACTCTAAACAAGTATCGATGAATTGTACTCGTACTTCCAAGTAGTCTCAAAGCAAAGGCAAAAAGTAAACAAAAATCAGATTGCTTTGCTTTTTTCACCTCTTTCTATTTGTAAATTGAATAGTCACAGCTCTTAATAGTTTTAATCTAATCTAAAGGAGTTTATGGAATAAACTTCCGATAAATCAGTTTTACATGCGTATATTAAATGTTTATAGCAAAAAGCTTTCTCCAAGTTTTCAAAAGGAAATATTTTATAATTGTTTGACGCGTACATGTATTCATAAATAACTTTACTTTGAAAATGAAATGCAAATGTAGAAGACGAGAAGCAAATGTGGTGAAGCCCATTCTCTATTGGAAAAATAAGATCTCTTTTATAAAAATTTTCTTCAAGAATGGGCTGGATTTCACAACGAAGGTAGTATACATGGGTTAACGACGGCTGCCTTATGCTGGGGAGTGGCCAAGTTGTCGAGTTCATTATCAAAGGGGAGACAAGATATTCGTTTTTCAATTATTGAAATATTTTTACCTGAAGCCAATGTTGAAATGACCGTTACATTTCCTTCTAGGTTGTGTAAAAATTTCATAACTGTGCCAGTTACCAGTAGCTCACTAGAACAAAATATGTATTAATTATTAGTATTGGAGTACGCATATCGTCGCCCGTATGCCATAAACATGAATGTGTATAAAAGAAAATTTTGGGAAATCAAGTTCGAAAGTTTTTTTGCGAGACTTAGCTCTACATTTGGGCAAACGAAATTGTAAAATATTTACTTTCCGTGTACGCATGATATCCTGGGTTTTGGTATAACATAGAAAATCCAAAAATAACCCAAGTCAACCCAATAACTCAAAACTGATAAATTTGCACATTCATGCTTCTGGCATGAGGGTTACGATATGTGAATTAAAAACTTTAAAGGCGTGTTTCTCGAGCTTTCGGTTTTTTGAGTTATGACAGTATTGAAGTAAATGATCTCTATGTTCATTTTCATAACATTCATATTGGATATTCGAACGTCGCCACAATATTTATTGGGTAATTTAAAAAAAAATTTACTTAAAGTTCTTAGCTCGTCGATATTTACTCAGTACTTGTGAAAAAGTATCGAGTTCTCGATACTACTCAGTACTCGAATCGTTCTATCACTAGCTATTTGAATAAAATGCTAACTTTTAATTTAATTGTTGCAGTTTGTGAGAATTTCGGTATAGGTCTGAAAGGTGAATTACCATGGCGCCTTAGGTGTGTAACATTTGTGCGAATCACAGGCTATTTAATATTTGTGACATATATTTGACAGATCGGAACTTAAATACTTTTCGACTACAACTAGGCGGCGGGAAAATCCAGAGAAGCAAAACGTGGTGATTATGGGGCGAAGAACATTCTTTTGTATACCTGAAAATAAGCGGCCATTATTCGGTCGTCTAAATATCGTATTGAGTACAACACTCAAACGATCTGAGTTACCAGATAATGTGCTGCTCTACCCGAGTTTAGAAACAGCAATGCAACATTTAGAACAGTCTGATCTCAAGCAGCAAATTGAAAAGGTTTGGATCGTTGGTGGAAACGGAGTGTACAAGGAGGCTATGGCTTCGCCCCGTTGTGATCGGATATATTTGACCGAAATTCTGAAAGATTTTGAATGCGACACATTTTTCCCTAAGATTCCCGATGATTTCAAAGAAGCCAAACCTGATCCTTTCCTACCCCTGGGTATTCAAGTGGAGGACGGCATTCAATATGTATATAAAGTGTTAGAGAAGCAAACAATTCTTGATTAAATCAGGTACATATTTGAAGCAAACTGCATTTTATTTCGTTTTCACGGTATTCGTGTCTTCAAGGCCCTTGGCAGCTATCATTAGTTCATATAATTGTACTACTTGATCGTCTTTAAGCATTTCAACAGTTCTAGTGTCCAATTCGCCCCCTAGCGTCCCCGTTGGTTTACCCTTTAGCCCTAGTTGTGAGGTAATCGTCACGGCATATTTCTGTAAAATAAGTGTATGAAACACATTAGGAAAATCATAAATACGACTCGTTAAAAAAACATGGGGGAAATTTTCCAATAGGGAACCCCGCTTTGAAGACACGGGAGAAAGGGGGCCGCCCACATCTTAAATATGCGTTCAACTCCTTTCTATGTTCTTCCTACATTCTGAGAGTGATGGTTTCATTTAAAAAAAATCTTGGCTAATATCGTCACCCGGGTTTCATATAAATACTAATGGTTCCGTTTTGGAAATAGCCGAGGCATGTTTTTCAATCCCTTACAGCCCATTCAGTCATAAATAGTTGTGCTTCCATAGGTGAGCATGCAAGATGCCGCCGAAATTCGTCGCGCGCATATTTATCACCCAAATCTCGTAGCTCCAGTGGTAAACCTGAAAACGGACAAACGCATTAGTGACCATGATTGCATGATAGTAAACTTGCGGTGATGTTATAAATTACCTCTATGCAGACGTAATATGGTCTTATATAAAATACGCACCTTTTGTGCGTGGCTTAATTGATCTACTATTATTTTAGACATCTATTTGGTGAAGCAATTACTTAATAACTTGTAATTATAAACGGTTAACTATTGGACAGCTGATAATAGATCAAAAACTAACTTTTGAGGAATTTCAGATGTAGTTGCTTGTAGTGGTGCAAAACTATCGATATTTTTTTTCGCTACTTCGATTGTAATTTGGAACTATCGATAGTCCGGCATACTCGTGAACGAAAGGTTCATGCGGCATACTTGTGCACAGTGTACGGAGTTCGAAAAATGTGATAGAAGTTGGCAGTCTTTTCTTAAAGACGTAAGGATGTGATATCGGAGCAGCAGAATTTTCATCTCGTTGGTTCTTAATAGTTGTAGGTTTGTATAGTAACCCAAGAATAGCTCTGATCCAGTACTCCATGAACTTACAGGATTTTACACGAAGTTGCAGGAAAAATGTTCCCGTACTCCAAAATCCTGTAAATGAGACCGACTTTTGGAGAGTTGTGTAGAGAATACAGTTGTAAGATTTTACCGGAACTTTTTCCTCTGGTAAAAGCACTGATCCAATACTTTTCGTGAAAAATCCTGTAAAACTGTCAAACAGCAAAATTACTCTCTGAAGTGAGTGTAAAAAGTGAATAATAACAACAAGTACGGGAACAAAAAAAACATTTTTCCTGTAAAAACGTCAACCAGTGATTGCTTGATACTTTTCATGATTTTACCAGAAGAACAAGTTTAAGTAAAATCTTGCAACTTCATTCTCTACACAACTCTCCAAAAGTCGCTCTCGTTTACAGGATTTTGGAGGGTTTTGGAGTACGGGAAATTTTTCCTGCAACTTCCTGCAAGTTCTAATAAGTCCTAATAGCTCTGATCCAGTACTCCATGAACTTACAGGATTTTACACAAGAACGAGTTGAAACTGCCAAAACAGTTCACTTTACAGCGAAAAACGTGATTTAATTTTGCTAAATGCGAAAATATTGCGTTTTTCATCTAATCTTTTAGAGAATAGGTAACGTTTTAGTACACTCCATTGCTTTGCAATTAAGGCTGATGCAGAAAACTGCGGCAGCATCTCACCGGGATTGATTAGTTAACTTGCTAATGGAGGCTGCTTGGAGCAGAAGCAAAATCATTCTGAGGATATGCTGTTAATATAATAATAGAGAAACATTTCGAGAACGGCTTTGCCGTGCCCTATGTACACAAAATGCAGCGAATCGTCCCAGCGCTACACTTGCATCTACGCTTCTTGCATCTTGACGGCTCAAAGTATATCATTTCCATATTCTAGAAAAGATTAATTACATTATTTTATGTCGCCAAATTTCAAAACAACGTCAAGAATATTTTTAGAAATGTCTGCTAAAGACGAAACAATAACAACTAAAAAATTTAGGAAAATTACTGAGCGCAATAATATTTAAACTTGTGAATTTGAAACTGAATCTCAATGTTTAATTTGTCGGTGTAATGCTTGAAATACAATACCGGCGAACGGCAAACTTCGCCGAATTGGGCGATGCTGTCGGTCACCGTTCGCCCAACTATTTCGCCTACTTAAACAGAATTAGAGCGGTAGCGAAAACAGCTGATCCCATTTGGTCGCCTTTATAATTTGGGTGACCATATTTAGAAAAAACTAAACCATATTTAGAAATGAGGAAATGATAACAAATATAAATGTAAAACAAAGAAAGATTATTATAAATAATTTGTTTCAAGCCAGATTTAACGAATCCACAACTATATTTTTCAAACAACAAAAAAAAAATCGTGTTTAGGTTGTTTTCTTTTTAAACTTTGAAAGCACAAAACAAATACGGCCACCTTTGGCACGCACAGCTGTCATCGCCCAGCAGAGCGATAGAAATAAATCTATCGCCATGAAACGCCGCCAAGCGAACTTCGCATTTCGCTTTGGCTGTGTTCAATTTCATATGCTTGCGGGGGTTCTAATTTTGACAGCGCGAATTTCGCTGTGGTGAGTTCGCCGTTCGCCGGCATTGTATTTCAGCTATTATGTGATTTATGCAACAATTGCTAAAATATCATTTTGGTCTTATTTTTTTAGGTATGCTCTTTTTAATGAATATATATTTTTGGGATTTTAGTAAACTAGGACTTAGTATTTCATGTTAAAGTAAAACGATGTTGACTTAGACTTATTTTTAGCAAATTATTATTTTTATTAGACCCGAAAACTCGTTATCCGCCACTATTCGATAAAGTTTGTATCTCAGTCTCCTCTTATAGCGTTTTCTCTTCTCAAAATAATGTTGCATTTAGTTTTCNGCAGCATCTCACCGGGATTGATTAGTTAACTTGCTAATGGAGGCTGCTTGGAGCAGAAGCAAAATCATTCTGAGGATATGCTGTTAATATAATAATAGAGAAACATTTCGAGAACGGCTTTGCCGTGCCCTATGTACACAAAATGCAGCGAATCGTCCCAGCGCTACACTTGCATCTACGCTTCTTGCATCTTGACGGCTCAANTTCCCTACGCCAGGGCTGTCAAGTTTTCATGTTCTTTTCTCAGCATCTTCACATGCACATTGCGTGCTCTTTGTTTAAAATGTTGCACTCTGATAATGTTGCGATATAAGAAGGTGACATTTTTTTCCGAGAAAAGAAAACGCCATTAGACTTTATACAAAACAATTTTAGCTGCTGGAAAGTGCAGGTTTTGATGAAATTTTCTTCGAGTAATTCATTTGCATTTTATCTCGACCGAGACAAATTCTTGTATATTTGCTTTGAATAGAGAAGGCCTGATTCATTACCTTTCCAATTGTATCCCATTTTTGTGAATAGAGCAAGAAATATTGAACTTATATCAAGGACCTTGGTATTTGTCTCAAACATCAAACAGCTGCAAGATAGCCTGCACAAAGATTCAACAACGTCACAGTCTGTCAACTTAGAAAGCCGTGCGAACTACGAGAAGGTATTAGGAATGCGTTGGAACACGGAGACAGATTCGTTTGAGTTTCAGCTCAATTTTCACCGGGTTTCAAAAGCCGTATTAGAAGGAGTTCGGCCACCAACCAAGCGCGAGCTTCTCAGCATACTCATATCAGTGTTCGATCCATTTGGCATACTCGCCGACTTTCGACTGTTTGCCAAAATATTAGTTCAAGAGGTGTGGAAGAGTTCCATCCAGTGGGACGAAGTGATCCCGAATAGTTTGCATCACAAATGGTTTGCCTTGTAAAGTGAGCTCAGACATGTTAGCAAAGTGCATGTCGGGCGTTGGTATTCGCCTCAGCTTCAAGCTTTAGTGTCGATTCAACTACACGTAGTAGTAGACGCCAGTTAAGCAGCATTCGCCGCCGCTGCTTATTTTCGTGTCGCCAGCGCCGAAGGTTGTGATGTCATCTTTGCGCCAGGAAAACCCAGAGGCGCCCCGCAGAAGCTGTTATCGGTGCCGAGCCTTGAACTGCAAGCCGCAGTTTTAGGCGTCCGACTCGCGAATCTAGTCTGCCAAGGCCACAGTATTCAAGCCAGCCAAATATTCTTCTGGTCAGACTCACAAACGCTGATACAGTGGGTCATTCGAAAGAGCGAAAATTTAAGCCATACGTTGGTCATCGCATCGCAGAGATATTGTCATCAACCAAGCCTCCACAATGGCATTGAATACCCACCGACAAAAATACAACGGATGTCGCTACGCGTCCGACGTGGCCACCCAAGATCGAACTGCCTAGTCTATGGTTGCGTGGTCCAGAGTTTTTGCGATTTTCAGTTGGCCAGCCACAACTTGTACACATATGCCAGACCTGCTAGAGGAAGAAATCAAGCCTTGCCTTTACATACAAACCGAGGTAAATAATTACTTGATAGAATTTAACCGCTTTTCTTCATACTTCAAGATGAAACGGGTGATGGCCTGGGTCCTGCGAGCTGCCGACAAGTTTCTACGATTACACCGTACCTACGAGAATGACGATGAGGCCAGCCAAAGTTCAGAATTAACCGCATTTGAACTTGACAAAGCAGAGAATTACATCGTCAAAGCAGTCCAGCATGAAGTCTACAAAGAAGAGGTAGCAGCACTAAGCAGGGGCGAAAAACTTCACAAACAAAGCAGTATTAGGACGCTAACGCCGTATCTTGACAGCGATCGTGTAATGAGGATTCAAGGGCGCTTAGACGAAGCCATGGTTTTGCCCATAGAGACAAGGAGACCGATTTTGATGCCGTCGAAACACATCGTCTCCGAGCTCATAATGCGCCAGTATCACGAACAGCAACACCACCAGAATTTCTCAGTAACGTTGTACGAAGCCCGCCGAAAGTTTTGGTTTACGCACGCCAGATCATTGTTAAAAACTGTACAACGTACTTACGTAAAGTGCCGCATCGACAGAGCTAAACCGACACCGTCGCCGATGGATCATTTACCGGAGGATCGAGTCACCCCTTATGTTAGGCCGTTCACGTACACGGGCGTAGATCTGTTTGGCCCGTTTAACGTGACAATAGGTCGTCGACGTGAGAATCGATGGGCAGTAATTTTCACGTGCCTTACTACAAGAGCGGCTCATTTGGAGCTCGCAAATGATTTGTCGACAGATGCATTTTTGCTATGCCTGCGAAATTTTATTTACCGCCGTGGCACACCGATTAGAATCCGAAGCGACAACGGGACGAATTTTGTTGGCGCCCAACAAGAGCTGAAAGAGTCTGAGCGAATTTTGGATTTTGAGCGAATATCCAATAGGTCACCAGGCGGAACATAGACTGGAAGTTTAATTTTCCTTCCAATCCAAGTTCAGGAGGTTGTTGGGAGCGCCTCATTCGCGTCGTTAAGAGATTGTTGCAGAATACACTTCGCGAAGAAGCACCAAGAGAAGACACACTGCGAAGCGTGCTAATTGAAACCGAAAATATTTTAAACTCGAGGCCGCTGACTGAGGTGCCTTTGTCATCAAGGGAAGACGATCCCATAAATCCGAACCATTATCTGGTTGGTTGTCCCAATTCAACGCAAACACCACAGCCAGTTGACCAAAAAATATGCCTCAGGAAACAGTGGCGTACCGCCACTGGTATCTAAGGACCGCATTTGGAAGCACTGGATACGGCATTATTTGTCGCAATTACTCTTGCGCCACAAGTGGCACGACAAAGTTGAGGCGATTGAGATCGACGATTTAGTTCTGGTCTGCGACGATCTTCAACCGCGGAGCCAATGGAAAAAGGCCGAGTCACCAAAGTATTTCCAGCCAAGGACGGGCAGATCCGTCTCGTCGAGGTCAGGACCGCTGGAGGAGTACTACGTCGCCTTGCAACAAGGCTTGCCATCCTGCAAATTAAAGGTGAATCCCTACGTGATTCACGGTGTGGCGGGGTGTAATGGCACCCTGTAAATTTCATTTTAAATCGAAATCAAACTCGTCATCTGCCTTGTATAACCGGCCGTCTTCACGTGCTGGAAAATCTCGCTTGCGTGACGACGCATGCGAGAAACCGCACGTGTAGACCGCAAAAAGTACGAAGCATGCTTTTTCTCGCATACCGAGCGGTATGCGAGCTCTCGCTTGCTTTCAACTGTAATTTTTGTTGTTTGACAGCTATGTTCTCATTTTGCAGAATTTTTCAGAGTAGAAACATCGTTTATTTTGGAGGCAAATACAAATTTAGGGGCAGCCACTTTTCATTTGAAAATAGGATACATCTCTTTATGCAGATTTTCTAATTTTCTCAAACTTTTAAGAGCCTGCAAAGCTTGAACCTTCTTGTTTGGCGACATTTTACAAATGAAAAAGTATGCTGTCAATTGCCCAGTCAACAAAACTCTATCTCGCTTGCGAGAGAAAAAAGCTATTTGTTTCTTCTCGATCGTCGTTCACCTTTGTGGTCTTCGTTTCCAAATTGTGTTGTTCTGTCGTTGGCTGTCATGAACCAAAAATACAAGATCACGTAAGAACGCGACGTTGTATTTGTAACTGGTTTTGAGAAAAAAGTTTGCGAAAGCGGGTTCTTCAGCTGAGCGTTTGTTTACATCACAAGCACCACTATTTTACACTTTTATTTAAGTAAAGAAGAGTTAATTCAACATGACAACACATTTTCAAGCATTTTATTGCATCATTTTACCTAAATTGTGCGCTTAAAGTGGCTGACAATAATTTTGGCTAACTTTGGTTTCGTTGTTTTCTTTGCTTAGTTTACTTTTCGCTTGTTTTCCAGTGAAACAAAATGGCGAAGAACCCGCTAAAAAAATCGACTTTTTTCACTCTCTTGTTCTTTCGTGATCTTGTGTCTTTCGTTCATGTATTTTTGGTTCATGATACACACCTCATAATAGGGGCTGAAACCATCGATACTATCGATAGCCCTAGCGATAGTTTTTCATCACTACAACTGACCGAATCAGCTGTTCACAAAATTAAGTTAGGAATTCGGAGCACCATTTTCGCCGCCGTACACAAATTTGTAAACTTTGGAGTCATGTATTATATTAAAGCGGTGATAACAGCATTGCAAATCAAATGAAATATTCGGCAGTATGATATTAAAAATAAACCAAAGGAGTTATAATGTTACGGACTTGGCTGTGCGCATCGCCTTGGTGCTACTGTTGATATATTGGATTATGCCATGGCGCTTTGCTTCACATTACGAGTTTTTACACCAAAATCAAATAAGTGAGGAGCTTGTCGAGCAAGTTACCAGTAATATCTCCATGCAACGCATGCCTTCATGTGATTACAGTGATATTATAGCAGATAATGCAAACACATATCGGCCGCAGTATCGCGAACATGTACTGCGTGGAGAAGAAATAATACCCGGTGGTGAATATTTTCCGGAGGAGTGTAGCGCACGATTTAGTACCGCAATCATTGTGCCTTACCGCAAGCGGGAGGAGCAACTTCATGCTTTTCTTATCTACATGCACAATTATCTGCGGCAGCAACGCATTCATTATCGAATTTTTCTAATTGAACAATATGATCAGAAACCATTTAACCGCGCGAAGCTTTTCAATATAGGCTCAGTAATTGCTGCTGAACTGGAATTTCCTTGTTTAATATTACACGATGTCGATCTGCTCCCGATGAACCTAGGTCAACTATACGCTTGTACACTGAATCCGCGACATATGTGCTCCGCTTTGGATATTTTCCGTTTTACATTGCCATATCGTGGACTATTTGGAGGTGTTGTGGCTATACGAACGCAGCAATATAGATTTATTAACGGAATGTCAAACTTGTTCGAGGGCTGGGGAGGTGAGGACGATGATTTCTTCAACAGATTGTACTCCCATAAAATTGATATTTGTCGCTTTGAGCCGGGATATAGTAAATACACGATGATGCGACACAAGCCAGAGAAAAAGAACGAAGATCGGCTGAAGTTGTTAAGAAATGGTTACAAGCGCTTCCTGACTGATGGCCTAAATTCGTTGGAGTACAAAGAAAAGGAACGTCGACTTCATAGCTTATTCACACACATTCTCGTCGAAACTTGAGTTAAATAATGTCTTACAAAAATATGCCAAGGAAAGAAATTTTTAATCGTCCGATTAAAAGATAAGTGGATTGAAAACCCACTCGAATAAGGCTTGTAGTTGTAGTTATCAAGACTACAACGAAAAGATATAAATACATAAACATACACAAGTTTAAGTACTCGTATACCTGTGAGCATCACCATGTAATTGGTCTAAGGTTACTAATCTAAAACAATTCGCCCACTTTCCTCAATAGCGTATCAGCTCGAAATTCACCGTTTGACAGGAGTTCCAAAAAACTATTTATCATGATCACATGTGCTCTTACAACAAATCAAAAACAAAAACTACTTCAGGTTTTGCTGGCAGAAATGTATGATTGTACTCTGAGGTAAATGTATAATCGGAGAACAATTTTATCGCATAATATTTTTAATTAATTCACTTTTGATGCATGTGTGCGGATTGCTTTATCTGGTACTTCACATCACGTTGTTCTTAACCAAATTTCATGTACGTACATATATATGTACGTAGTTTTTCGCAGTTGTCAAGAATGAAACGATAATAGTGCTTGTTGTTGCATTAGCAAAAACTGAGCATTTGATAATAAAGATAAATTGGTAATTTTAAAGATTTGGTTGTGAATTACAAAACCTTGCAACGAGATTATACCTATCGCTACGAATCTCATTTCATACTTTAGAAGTACGTTTGGGATTCAAATTTAAAACTTTCACACCCTTATTGCGAGTGTCGACTAGTAGTAGATAAACGACTCTTTTTCGATTATCGCTTGTCCATGGCATTCTGAATGTCGATTTCTCGTTCAATAAGCGATTGTGAAGAGTTTTTTATCGCTAATTTTTCTACAACTGTTTGTCTGTAGAAGGATGAGCGACTATAAACTATTAACACGCACTTATTGAACGAGAAAACGACTTTGAAAATACCACGGATAATCGATAATCTACTAACAGTCGTTTATTTACTACTAGTCGACAGTCGCAATAGGGGTGTCAGTTACTTTTCTTATTATTGAAAGTAGGAGCTAGGGGTAGTGCATTAAGTTTTGAGTGCACTAAACATTTCACTAGCACTGAATATAATAAAAAAAATTAATTTTTCACTATTTACCATCAGCTTAGCGATAGGAAAAAAATTGCGCTATAAACAAAGAGCGGAAAATTTTAAAAGAACTACATTATAAGCTGAAAGCCGCTGAAAGTAAAAAATGTTCACTAAACTTTCAAAAATTAATTTGTTTGTAACATCATCACTAGAGCTTGTTGTTGTTGTTGTTGACCCATTTTGTAATGATGACATAATGTGAATTTCACCATGAGCTTCACAGATTTGGCTAATTTAATTTTTGTGGTATTGGCATGTATAAAAAAATCTACGTACAAGGTTGTCGTTCCCACGACAGTCGGGTCTACGTAACCGGAACGACCCAGACGACGACAACAACAGTTGAGTTAAATATTACAAAAAAAAAATCGGTCTAAACATTAGTCTTGAAGAAAAAATGGTACTCTGGGCACAATAACGTTTTTTTTTTATTATAATATTAGTTTTAGTAGAAACTTTTTAATTCCGGTATCACATTAAGCAATAATGAGGCTGATTATTTAGCAATTCACCACTTACATCAACAGTAGAAATTAAAAATGTTGTATTCGAAAAATACGTGTACTACTCCCAAATCTGCTAAAAATGCAAAGTAGTTAAGACTATATTTTTAATATATGTATTGAAATGTGAAATGTTACTTACAAGGATCAAGAAAGACATACTAACATATCGACGATGTTTTTGCAAAACCGCTCATAGACCAATTGCAAAACCGCCGATCTTATGGCAGTCAAATTTTACTGGAGTGCGAAAAACGGGCATTGCCTTGATAGACCGTATTTTCTCTAGCTATTATTTTACAAATCTGTTGTTTTAATAAAGGTGAATAAATCTCGATGCCTGGAGTTCAGTGTTGCCAAATCTAATTTTTGCCACAACGGCGATTTAGGCTGTTTTGCGCCTGGTCGATGGGCTTTTAAATTATTGGCACACATAAAAAAAGTTCTAAGTTTTTTCTAGTCTATATCTAATACGCACACGCGTATGTTTCACGTAAACGCACACGCACGCAAATAAACAAATCGCGGCTACAAAATGCTAAACAATAATGTATGTATGTAAAAGTACATGCAACATACTTTGTATATATGTATATGAATCCTAATGTAACTATGCCAAGTGCTTTAAGTTGTTTTAAATTTAGAGCATGAAGAATCTCAATTGAAGTATATTTAACTAGGACAATGACGATAATAAATTGATACTCATAGTTCGAAACTTAAAACTGTGTTTGATTTTATATCTTCAATATTTTCTCAATTATCTTTATTGCTATTTTTTCTACGCCCATACAGTGTCACGGATCCAATTAATAAAGTTATATACACGCGTATAAATGCCCGGTTGATTGGGTGTACCACAGCCGATACCAAAAGACGTAACACCAACTATCGTATACATGCATGGAAAACTGGGATGGTAGGCCAATAATGGGCCACCAGAATCACCACTGCAAGTGTCTTTCGCTTCATTTGACCCAGCACATATTTGCGAACGATTGTCCACTCCTCTGGGAAGTTGATCTACATCTCCAGATTCTGTTATACGTTGACAACTGTGGAAATCGAATCGATGTAGAGTCACTTTTAATAGTTTCTTTGAATCAGCATCGGCGAAGTGGATACTGCCCCAACCGATAGCGACAAATTTTTCAAATTCATCACCTGAGGTTGTTGGCAAACAGGCGGGATGTTTATATGCGTCGAAATTAACAGCGCGATCCAGTTCAATGAGAGCTATATCATTATAAATGGTGCCACTTTCATAATTCTTATGTTCGACGTAGCGACGAACACGAATATCTTCTGGTTGTGCGTCATCCGATTCTTTTTCAAACTCCAGTTCGCCCAAGCGAACTACATTCACTTCACCGCTGCGGAAATAAAAAAAAACATGAAATGTTTTATCATAAATTCACATGATATTTATAATCGTTAAATGAGATAATTTTTTTGTAACTATAAAGTACTCCATTTCAACTGTAGAGTCTTGTTGTTTGCTAAATTTTTAAACTATATTTAAAGGAACAAAAATGTGAGATAGGGCCTTTCTATACTTTGGTAAAGATATGTATGTACATATATACAAATATATGTATGTTGTATTTAAAAACGTGCTCTTACCGGCTTGATGAAAGGCAATGCGCTGCAGTTAAAACATATTTATCACTTACTAATGTCCCACCACAAAACCATTCTATCGATCTATCTTTCTCCTCACGACCCAATCGTGCAATATGCGGAAATTCCCTGGGGCTTGCTGGAGTTCCACCCACTATTAGCGGTGCATACGGCTTGCAATTATCTACCGTAAAGCTTAATTCTTCTGCGCCATGTATGAAAGCGCTAAAAGTTCGCACCTCTTCGAATATAAGTTGCTTCACTTCAGTGCATTCTTAAAGAAAATACAATTAAAACTTCCACAACTACTATACCAAATCATTTACTTTTTACTTCAATTGTTGGCTGGACTTGTCCCCTAACGAAAGCCCACTCATTATCAAGCACAAGCAAGAAGAGTATTGCTCTTGGAAAAAGATTTCTGAGCTGCACACTTTCCATCCAATTTCTTTGATGCATTGTTCGCAACTGCGGGCTCGAATTGAAGATGAGCTCGAACTACATTCTCTAACTTGTCAGAGCCCAGAATGAAATATTTATGTATAAGTATACAAATGTATAGTCAAATTTATTTGTGTGTTGATTCCCCGCCTGTTGCTGTATTGTTAATCGCGGTTTTCATATGTACGGGAATCTTTTCACCGTCTGACATAACAAGTTTTCATATCAAGTTTTGAGTAGGAAGTGTTTACTTTCTTAGATATGTGTATGTATGTATGTATTTATGTACATGTGTACTCTGCTGATGAGCATTTTCGTTACCTGAGCAGGAGGACAATGTCGTATTTGTGGAATAAAGGTGTCCCAACTGAACAGACGTGCATTAAACAAGGATTCACTTACGACAATGACTCAATAACTTGATTTTACTGTTATTATACTTAAAATCTGGTGTTGAGTATGAAAGTTTATGAGAGAATTCAATGATTTGCGAACTTTTTTTTTGTCAAACTGTAGTGAAGGAAGATAAATCCAAGAACTCAGTAAAATTTGGCAACATTTACTAATAAAGTAAGCATTGTTAAAACTATTTTATTGAAATATGTGCAAATACTGTTTATTAGTAAAATAAGAATAAATAATCAAATTGCCGCCAGTTGCATATGAAAACAGTTTTTCCCGCCAATTTTACAAATCCAGGAGCATCCTGGAGTACGGGAGGAGCTAAATTACTCGTTATTAGCTCTTTCCGCTCGTTATATTAAAAAATCATTCGCCTTCAGTGCTCGGACGTCTTCTGATCGCAGCAGCTTTAGTACATTTTTTTAAATCCGCTTTACTTCAAATCTACTCTGTTTTTTTAATTCACGTTCTGGCTTTCCTATAATCGTTTTTTGATAGTTAACCATTAGGTTTCAGTAAAAAAGTGAAANAGCGGTACAAAATTGTTTTCTTGACGTTCATTGTGGCATACCTTTTGCGTTTGACGCTTTGCTGGCAAAGTTATAAATGTCACGCAAAGCTACAAAGTTTTATCTGGCATCAGCTTTAGGTTTCAGTAAAAAAGTGAAAGTCTTCGTGTCTACTCTGCACGTTAAAGAAGATTTTGTAAACGAAAAATTTTATTACCAAAATAAGTTACCAGTTGTTGTCACAGCGATTGTAAGTAATGGCAGTATGCTGCAGCCGGATTCCAACATTTGCTATCGCTAATTTTGATCGCCAAAAATCTCCAAAAGACTAGCAGATGCCCCTAACAACACGCACAACATCTAGTTGCATGCTCTGCACACAGGCAGATTTGGCTGATTACGCATCGCATTACTCTTACTCTTGTTATATACTTTTAGGCTAGTGCTTTTCATTTATAGAATTTTAGCGACGAAAATTTAGCGTAGAGATTATGAATTCCACTGCAGCTCTAAAGAAAAGCAAAAACCAGTGCTACAAACCGCTCTAAAAATAGGTGAGGTTTGGTTCAGTGGTTCGAACCACTCAGAAAATGCTTGTAACGGTAAAAGAACCGGTTCATAAGTATCCGTGAACCACGGTTCAGTTTCGTTATTTTTTTTTTATGCTAAAACAGAGGTTCCCAAACCTTTTTTTCTCGTAGACCCCTTTCAAAACTTTACTGGTCTCGGTGGATCCCCTACGGCTACATTTCTACATGTCATGTTGTTGTTGGGTGAATTTGATTAGTCTTCTATTCAAAATCAGAGTTCGCTTGGATGTCAGTCAAAAACTCTCTGTGATGCAGAGAAGTAGTCATGGGTAATAGCGCAATTTTTTTGGCTCTAGCTCAATAACGCCAGTGCCACCTGTGGTGTCAGCGGCAACTCCGGCTACGGTGTTAACCCAATTGCGCCGCGAAGCGCAGTGTGTCCCATGCCTACAGAGAAGAATTTCTATCTGGCGGGGCCTTAAAAAATTTTCTTGAGTTAAATTTCCTTAATAGGGCTTTCGCACGAGGCGATTTTTCAGGCAACTTTTGCGTTCAACTCACGCAAGGTTGCACAAAAAAAAACTTGAATGGCTAAAAATAACAAAATATAAAGCAAAAACAAAGTTAGTCGCCAGCCAACATTTAGCCATTCAACTTTTTTTCTGCAACCCTGTGTGAGTTGAAAGCAAAAGTTGAACGCAAAATCGCCGCGTGCGAACACCTTTTAAGGCAGTACGCAGTTCTTACTGGTTGACTTCACATGCTTGAAAATCTCGCTTGCGTTCTGCTTTTTTCTCTCGCAAGCAAGATAGAGTTTTGTTGACTGGGCGTTTGACAGCATCCTTTTTCATTTGTAAAATGTCGCCAAAAAAGAAGGTTGCAGGTTTTTAGGCCAAATTTGTATTTTCCACCAAAATAAATGATGTTTCTACTCTGAAGAATTCTGCGAAAAGAGAAAATACCTGTCAAACTACAAAAAGGATAGTTGAATGCATAGGCGAGAAAAAGTATGTTTCGTAATTTTTGCGGTCTACGCGCCGTCACGCAAGCGAGATTAATCAGCACACGAAGACGGCCGGTTAAGAAATTTGCTACGCTTTCTACTACGGGTTTCTAAAGATTTTTGTGAAAAAGGAGCAAAAGGTAACCCATGTTTGCTACATGAAGCCCAAAATACAATAGCGCAGTGGTAGTGGCAGCGACAGTTTTTTAACTCAGCTGTTACTGCTAGTATTGGCAGTCACTGCCGCAGCAAACAAAATACGGCGTTATCAGTGACTACTTTTTTTGACATGTTCTTCTGTTTGTTTACATTTTTGTTGTCGCCGTTTAGGATTCAGTTACGCAAGCAGAAGTTGGCTGCGTTTTAATTATGTCAAATTCAGCATGCAAACTTTGCTGCGATGAAGACAGTGGCAGTGAATTTATATTTTGGGCTAAACTGAGCAGTACTGCCAGCTGCCACTGCTGTTTTGTGAGTCGCTTCAATGGACACCACACTTTCTAAAAAACACAGCTGATTTCGAACAAGTAAGAAAGTCTAAGTTCGGGCGGAGCCGAAAATTAAATACCCGGCGCAAGTATTAAATATATGTTTTCCACCGTTCCGAAAGCTGCCGCTACTGATAAGCCGGGGTGTATAAATTTTAAGTAAATTAGCGTCCTTAAATTTCGAAATATTGAAATTTCAAGCATTTCTGAAATTTACCGGTTATATGAAAAACGGCCGTAATTTTAGTCCGATTTCAACAATTTTCAACGGTTTGCTTTTGTGTGGCAAGCACAATAACCGTACCGAGTTTGGTACAAATTGGTAGAACGGTTACCGAGACACATATATGTGATCATAAGTGGGCGGTGCCACGCCCATTTTCCAAAATTTTATCACAAACATATTTCTTTGTTAAGAATTGTTGCACCCATCAATTTTGAAAAAATTAGCTTTAATATTTACTGATTTATCGAGGATTTCGTATTTTTCTAAATTACCGTTATATGGGATGTGGGCGTGGTTATTGTCCGATTTTAAAAGTTTTCGGCCATTTGGTATTTTGTACCAGGAAAACAACTGAGGCAAGTTTGGAAGAAATTGGTGCAGCGGTTACCAAGATATACGCATGATACCATAAGTGGGCGTGGCTACGCCCATTTTCCAAAAATGTATAATATTCTTATTTTTCGTTTAAAACTCATTGTAAATACCAATTTTGAGTGAATTATCTTTAGTAGTTACTGAAATATCCCAGTTTTCGTATTTCTGAAAATTACCGTTATATGGGAGGTAAGCGTGGTTATTGTCCGATTTCGCCCATTTTCAATACCATCCGTCCTACGCCCAAAAGAAGTCCACGTACCAAGTTTCGTTAAGATATCTCAATTTTTACTCGAGTTATCGTGTGCACATACGGACGGACGGACGGACAGACAGTCACCGCTTAATCGATTTCTCTTTTCATTCTGATCATTTATGTATACATTTGTCTATATCTATCTCGATTCGTTTTGCCTGATACAAACAACCGTTATGTGAACAAAGTTATAATACCCTTGTGCACAAGTGCGCTCGGGTATAAAAACTACCACTGCCACTGCCACTGCGTTATTGTATTTCGGGCTTAACTGCTCAACCTAATAGTACCGTCGTGAGTTTTTCTACGCATCCATGTAAGTTTCTCACATTTGTTTGACCGGAATCAATTTGCGTGTATGATTTATGAGTCTGTCAAATTTACAGAAGCTTTTTGAGGGAAATTTGAATTCATAGTCGCGCCAAAATGTCAAATGAGCACAAACATCAAATCGACACTGCTAAGGGAGCGGTGCGAGTGAGACAACTGTCAGTTTATCGAACCTTTTATTATTGAATCATGTTAAATGGGTAAGTACAGACTTATTGATAAAAAGTAAACCGATTAAAACATTGGCTTTAGTAAAATTTTTTGTGTTCGAAGGCATTGATTCTTTTAAAATTGTTTCAACGTGGGAAAAAAAAATATTTTCCTGTTGTTTCCCATCAATGAAAAAGTAATGGAGTTCAGTTGTGGCCAGAACATTTGAGCCATTCCCCAAGGGAAAACTTGAGATCGAATGCTGCGAGCGTACCTGTAGAGGGATGGGTGGAGTACTGCTGTGTCCTTAAATTCTCTGGAATTCTTACATTTGGAGACGCTTTGGCAATTGATAAACAACCAACGCAGTGCATTGACACAGATGGGCAATTCACAAGGTGTCGTATTTGTCGTGTTTGTCGTGAAGTCATGATATTTCATGACAGTTGTAAAAATGTTGTTATTGTTTTGTGAAGAAAAATAACACATGACGATACAACTCTGCAACCTATGTTTATTCGGTGTTATGTGAGGTTAAGTGCTGAGATATAATAAATAATCGTAACAGGTGTTCACAACCGTCGTGTTTTAACACAACTTTTGTTAGGAAAATATAACTTCACAACACCTTGTGAATTGCCCAAGATTCAGAGGAAACGTTCGTATTTTCAACGAACATAGTACAAGTGTTTATTATCATTCCTTTTCAGGTTGTTCTTGGAGTAGGAGCGTACAAAAAGGCGAACCAATAAAAATAAATCTATTACTCAACAGTTAACAGATAGAAATCATTTGTTTGTTAATATGATTACCAAACATAGCTTACCTATTTATCCTAGTAATTCACAAATTCAGGAAGTGGTATATAGCCCAATAGCTTTAGAGCCGGACGGTAATGGGACCTTTGGCATTAATATTTTAGATGAAGGTTAATAAAATATTTGGTATGTTGAAATCATATTGTAACGTGTATCTTGTTTATAGAGATTGCAGCACCAAACCTCGGCAAAAATATGGTTATAAATAAAATAAGTAATCTTAAAAATGAGGTTTGTAAGCTGAAGAATGAGTTAACTACATCCAAAACAGAGATAAAACAATAGATTAAGGATGATTATTCAAAAATTAACCTGAGCTTGGACAAAATTTTCCGATTACTTTCTAATCAGGATCATTCTCGTAAAGAAGTACCAGTACTCAACGCCAAACCAGATTTGCTTCAACATTTTAAATTCCCATTATCATCGGGTGAAGAAATATTTAAATTAGATGATGAAATTAGAAAAGATGCAGAGTTTCGAACTCAGCTGGTAAGCCAAACATGTTCTCTATTTGCTAGTGCCGAGTGAATTACACTTTAACCAATCGTCTGTAGATTGCATTTTTATCGAAAATTGGAGGCCGTCCAGGGGTAGAAGATCGTTCAAAGATTGCCTAAAAAGTAATTGATTGTGTGTTCCAGTCTGAAGTTTTGATGCAATTCTCTTGGACTGGAGTATCCAGGCGAACATCCGAAGAAAAAAATCCTTGCAAATGGTGGACGGAATACTGACNTAAAAAGTAATTGATTGTGTGTTCCAGTCTGAAGTTTTGATGCAATTCTCGTGGACTGGAGTATCCAGGCGAACATCCGAAGAAAAAAATCCTTGCAAATGGTGGACGGAATACTGACAACGCCGTATTGTGTTTACTACGGCAGTGACTGCCAATATTAGCAGTAACAGCTGATTTTAAAAACTGTCACTGCCACTGCGCTATTGTATTTTGGGCTGAAGTTTGCTGCGATGAAGGCAGTGGCAGTGAATTTAGAATTTGGGCTAAACTGAGCTGTACTGCTAGCTGCCACTGCTGTATTGTGAGTCACTTCATTGGGCACCACACTTTCTAAAAAACAGCTGATTTCGAAAAAATGCCACNCCACTGCGCTATTGTATTTTGGGCTGAAGTTTGCTGCGATGAAGGCAGTGGCAGTGAATTTAGAATTTGGGCTAAACTGAGCTGTACTGCTAGCTGCCACTGCTGTATTGTGAGTCACTTCATTGGGCACCATACTTTCTAAAAAACAGCTGATTTCGAAAAAATGCCACTGCGTTATTGTATTTTGGGCTTTACACATACATAGCTGAATCCTTATAGCCCAGTTACTGCTATACCATTTTTACGTAAAAATCAAAACCCAACAGAATTCTACATGTTAAGTGCTATGCGTTGGGTAACCGCTTACACGCAAAGCCCGTTTAACAGATTCTTATGTGACAACTCTCATGCAAAGCTAAGTATGCATAAATGGGCTATTACGGCCAGTTCACATACAACTTTGGCATTGCGTTGGCGTTGGCGACGCTTTGACAACTGCCTTTACATGAGGCGATTTTTCAGGCGATTCAACATTGCTCTGGAAAAATCGTTCGTGTAAATAGTGATTCAAAAATGGCTTGCTTCAAAATAGACAGCAAGTCAACTTTTGCATGCGATGTAAAGGCAGCTTAACGCTCGTGCTTGCTACAATGAACGTTTAGCAGAGAATACTTTGGCCACTAAATTAATATGCTAGCGGCAGATAAATCAACACTTTATATCATTTGATTAAAAAGGAAAATTAAATCACTGATTATGAAAAGTTGCGAGTTGGCCATGTTTCTGCGTTGTGTTGGCGTTGGCGTTGCCTAAAGGCTCAGTTATGCATACTTGGCATTGCATGGAAGTTGCCACATAGGGAATCTGTTAAATGAGCTTTGCGTGTTAAGGCCGGTCCACATAAAACTTTCGCGTTGGCTTTGGCGTTGGCGTTGGTTTCACAAAACGCACGTTAAAAATATGCTTGCTACAATGAACACTTGGCAGCGAATGCNTGCTTGCTACAATGAACGTTTAGCAGAGAATACTTTGGCCACTAAATTAATATGCTAGCGGCAGATAAATCAACACTTTATATCATTTGATTAAAAAGGAAAATTAAATCACTGATTATGAAAAGTTGCGAGTTGGCCATGTTTCTGCGTTGTGTTGGCGTTGGCGTTGCCTAAAGGCTCAGTTATGCATACTTGGCATTGCATGGAAGTTGCCACATAGGGAATCTGTTAAATGAGCTTTGCGTGTTAAGGCCGGTCCACATAAAACTTTCGCGTTTTCGCGTTGGGCCACTAAATTAGCATACTAACGACAGACAAATTAATATTTCATATCAATAATTGCATTAAAAACGATATTTCTTGCGTGCACTTGATTAAAAAGGAAAAATATTTCACATAATTTTATTTATTTGCAACAGCTGATGAGCGACGAANTTTACATGAGGCGATTTTTCAGGCGATTCAACATTGCTCTGGAAAAATCGTTCGTGTAAATAGTGATTCAAAAATGGCTTGCTTCAAAATAGACAGCAAGTCAACTTTTGCATGCGATGTAAAGGCAGCTTAACGCTCGTGCTTGCTACAATGAACGTTTAGCAGAGAATACTTTGGCCACTAAATTAATATGCTAGCGGCAGATAAATCAACACTTTATATCATTTGATTAAAAAGGAAAATTAAATCACTGATTATGAAAAGTTGCGAGTTGGCCATGTTTCTGCGTTGTGTTGGCGTTGGCGTTGCCTAAAGGCTCAGTTATGCATACTTGGCATTGCATGGAAGTTGCCACATAGGGAATCTGTTAAATGAGCTTTGCGTGTTAAGGCCGGTCCACATAAAACTTTCGCGTTTTCGCGTTGGGCCACTAAATTAGCATACTAACGACAGACAAATTAATATTTCATATCAATAATTGCATTAAAAACGATATTTCTTGCGTGCACTTGATTAAAAAGGAAAAATATTTCACATAATTTTATTTATTTGCAACAGCTGATGAGCGACGAACGCGATAAGTTGAGAGTTGGCCATCTCTTTGCTTTGTGTTGGCGTGAGCGTTATCGAATTTTGGCTATGTGGACGACTGCATTTGAGTTCATGTATTCATAGTCAGCTGTTGAAGCGACGCCAACGTCAACGCAACGCCAAAGTTCTATGTGGACGGGCCTTAAGGCCTCGCCAGACAGAAATTCTTTTCTGCGTCACAGGGATACCTTTGACTAACATCGAAGTTAACTCTGGGATTTCAAATAGAAGACGCCACATTGGCAACGCATGCATTGCCGCAACTGATAAAAATCGCCCAACTCTCAACTTTTGACGCGCGTCAATGTGGTAAAACAACAATGTATGGAACGAATTCAGACCAACTGACTTTTGGCCAATCAAAATGAGCCGTTTTGTTTGCGGCAACGTTTTCATTGTGGCGCCTCGCAATGTTATGTGCGTCTTGTCAGTCAAAAGCATCTCTGTGACGCAGAAAAGAATTTCTATCTGGCGGGGCCTTTAAGCGGCTACCAAACGCACACCATTACATATCTAAGAGTCTATTGATTTTTGATTTTTACGTAAAATGACATGTTATGCAGTGCATTGCAAAGTGTGCATAACTGAGCTTTAACTTTGCTTATGTGGAGACATGCAAATGCATCTATTCATAGTCAGCTGGCGAAGCGACTCCAACGCCAACGCAACGCCAAGGTTGTATGTAAACGGGCCTTTACATTTATTGCGTGTGTTGCAATGTCCACGGAAGCAGCAGTGAACTATTTCATAATTTCGTATATGTTTCGCTTTCCTTCGTTTTATTTTTCCAACGTTAAAAGCCGGAATTTTGTTTTTGAAAAAGTTGATACAACAAAAAATACGTTTTCTGTCAGATAGCTAACATGGCGGATAAGGAGAAGAAGTGAAATTACTTTCTAAAAATTATTGTATCATGGAGAGGACCTTATTTACTCTCTTTTTTGTCCGCTCATTAGTCAGAGAACCGAGTACGGGATCGATTCCCAGTAAAATCTGACTAATTCTGACTATTTCCGACGAGTCCGAACTCGTATGGGATCGCAACTCATGATTGTGACAACACTGAATGAATTATGCCTCTGTGAATGAAAGTGCCAAAAAGGGCCGTATTGCGCCTAGTTTTCCATCACTGCCTACGACGACAAAATCAACGAGACAACGTCAGCGACAGCAGAGGAAGAAGCAGCGCCTTCGCGTAGTACGCGCTTGTTTGTTTGTTTGTTTACATTTTCTACAAGAATACAAAGTATTATTAACAAAATGTGTAAATGAGTGTGAAAGGATATAAGTTGTATTGTTACATGAGCAAAAATTGAACGGACAATTTGTTCTCGATTCAGCCCATTGCATATAGAGGCAATTGATTTTTACATAATTTCCAAACGATGGCGGCTATGCGCTGACCATCGTAGATTTTAATTGTTTTGTTTTGTGCGTGAGTTTTTCGATGTGTACCACATACACTGGAGTTATAAAAAATATTGTTGCTGAACGAGTTCTTGCGAACGTGACGAATCCGCTGCGCGAGATTGAGTTATTTGGAGGTGGCGAAGGAGATATAGACATGGCGAATATGAAGTTGGAGCTGAAACTGGACGCGCACAATGCTCTGCAAAATCAGTTTGTATCCCTCGACATCGATAATAACCGTACAAAAGCGGATCATGGAAATAAGAAGGGAAGTCAAACGGGCGCCTACATAACACGGGCCAAAATGAATCCTGCCAAGAGTGATAATGAAAAACGCCGACGCAAAGATGCAATGCGAAAGGTAATTGATGAAATATCATTCACTCATATCTTCTTTGTATGGTTAATGTATGCATAAATTGGAGGGTGGGACCACTCGATGGTGGTGTGAGTTTAATGACACCGAGTAGAGAGAAACACCCCTTAGACCATGGTGCATGCAAGTGTACATGTGACTGCGGGGGTGATGTGAGTGAATGCCTACTTGCTTAAACATATTCACGTTTTTTTCATATTTGTTATCAATATTAAATTCTTACTGTTTTTAGATATCAAACATCTTCAAGAAATGTGAATCGTTGTTGACTGCTGAGGAACGACAATTGTGCGAAAAATATCCTGATATTGTTAAACAAATAAAAAAACGAAAAGAACGAGTTGAAATTTACAAAGACCGCATTATTGAAAAGGAAGATGAACCGCATGTCATCGAGGCAAAGGTAGAAGAGTTGGCTGCGATAATTTCACAATCGAAGCACCTGATTTGCTATACGGGCGCAGGCATCAGCACATCGGCTTTAATACCTGATTATCGCGGCAGCAAAGGTATTTGGACGTTACTGCAAAAAGGCGAAGACATTGGCGAACATGATTTGTCAGCAGCAAATCCCACGTACACACATATGGCTCTCTACGAATTACATCGACGACGACTTTTACGTTATGTTGTTTCACAAAACTGCGATGGATTGCATTTGCGTTCTGGATTACCGCGTGCTTCACTTTCCGAAATACATGGTAACATGTACATGGAGGTGTGCAAGCATTGTAAACCAGGACCAGCGGTGTATTGGCGGCTATTTGACACCACCGAAATGACGGCGCGTCATAGCCACAAAACGAATCGTCTTTGTCATCGTTGCTCCGAACCGCTCTACGATACTATTGTACATTTTGGTGAGCGTGGCAATCTCAAATGGCCGTTGAATTGGGCTGGCGCTTGTCACCATGCGGAGAAAGGCGATGTTATATTGTGCTTGGGATCCAGTTTGAAGGTTTTGAAAAAGTACACATGGTTGTGGCAAATGGATCGTCCAGCGAAACAACGAGCAAAAATTTGTATTGTTAACTTGCAATGGACACCTAAAGATAGTATTGCCTCAATAAAAATAAATGGAAAATGTGATCGCGTTATGGAAATGTTGATGCGTGCGCTAAACATAAGCGTGCCGATATATACAAAGGAGAAGGACCCTATATTTGCGCACGCGTCGCTGCTTATGCCCGAGGAGTTGCACACACTAACACAACCGCTGCTAAAGCGAGCCGGCGAAGATGCAGATAAAGATACTGAGACTGCCGAGGATGAGCATGACACATGCACCAGCGCAACCGAGGAAACGCTTGATTCGATTATGTCAGGGGATAGCGGCACCGATTTGCCAATAGGTAAAGGTCCTCGAATACGTACACCATTGAAAAACAGTACGCGTATCAAAACCAATCTTGAACTGAAATATAAGATGCCGCGTTTGGACAGTCATGCACAGAGTTGTGAGGATGATTCTAAGAGTGAAAAAAATGAAAAGATTTCTGAAGTGGCAAGGAAGACTGTGGAAGATATCAGTAACGCCAACCTGACAGAGAACAAAACAACCGCATATGACATACTCCTAAGTATAAAAGAAGAGGACCGTGAGCCGAAAACGAATGCTGCCACACAACCTGATCTAATGGAAACAGGCGAAAATATTTTAAAAAACATATCTCAAGAAGGGCAGCCGAAAATAGAGAGCATTAAACAAGAGGAAATCAATACAAATATAAGTGAATCGAAATCAGATGACCAGACTGTAGATACATCGACTGCTTCTATTAAAGTAGAGCTCAACCCCGAAACTAATAGTGTACTCTCTGATATAATAACTAATTCTAAAGATGTAGAAATGAAAATAGAACCTAATATTAAATCGGAGTCAACCGCTGGTGGTTCCATGCCAGTACAGCCAAAAGCAGTGACGCTTTTCACGGAGTCTGTGCCGAAAATAGAAGATGATGCAAAGGAAGCCAGCCGAAACCCCACTCCAAGCTTAACCAACAGCAAAAAGGAGTTGGAGAATTTGAACTCTCCTAAAACGGAAAGCATACAAGTAAAAATAGAAACTGCAATTGAGGTGAAATCAGAAACCCCCCTTGAAATGCCGGCATTGGTGCCTATCAGGCAGACTGCAGCAGTGACTAACAAACCAATTAATGACGAGATTAAATCAAATGATACACCCACTTCCGATCTATTCAAAACGTTGCAGGCCACAGAGATTGCGCTCAACTCTGATGAAGAAGAGGCAAGTTGTGAAAATGTAGTTGCCCAAATGGACATACTGAAACTGGCAAGGAAGAGCACAGTTAATAGTAGTGGCATCAAAAATATCACACAACAGTATTGGCTATTGCGCAAGTTGCCCTGTTGGTACGATGTCAAGTATGCATACTCTGGTCTGCATAGTATAGTGTATCCGCCGCCAGCCGACCTGAATATTTGGAACTATCAAGTAGTACCGATATTTGCTTTGAATCGGGCAGCGGCCGAGTGTGAATTCTGCTTTAATAACTATGCGGAATTTGAGTGTCAGTTCTACCGGAAGTGGCACCTTAACGAACGCAAGCATAAGAAACGCGCACGCAACGGACGTTTTGTGGTGTGTGAGTGTTGCTCGTATTCAGATGAGGATGATGATGATTACGATGAAAACATCTCGTTGGCACATATAGCCGCGGCAGAGGCGGCAAAGCGACAGCTGCAGTTAAACAACACTTTCCCGAGAAAATTGGCGCGCACGCAAGCGGGCTGGTACGGCAAGGGCTATCGCAAGGCAAGGCGACGTAAATAATACCGTGTACTGTAACTTTTTTACTTCATTATGTTTTTGGAGAGAGGAGAGGATAAGTGACTGTCACACTGGCAGCTGTGACTGTCCTTGGTCACTACAAATTTTTTGAGTATTTAAAACTTTTTACCTGTACAAGTTTTTCTATTTTAGTTTAAAAGCTTTTGATGCATTTATTTTTTTTGTTTCTGATATTGTCTACATTGCTTGCAGTGTTGTAGGTATTCTTTTATTAAAATAGTTTGGGATGTTAAGACCGTAAATTTTCGTTGATTAAAATTGTACGAACATATTAAGTAACTAAAATGCTAAAATGTACGTTGTAATGTACTGAAATTTTTTTATAAAACGAGATTAATAACACTTATTATATAAAAATGTCCGCATTTAAGATAAAAAGTATTTGCATTACAAACTTACAAGATTAAATTGAGTTTTATTATGTAAGTAGAATTAATATTGACAAGTCTTTCACAACAATGAGACATACATGTGTATGTAGCTTAAAATTGAAAATGTCATTATTAAAAACTGGTAAGAAATCAATAAAAAAAATTAAACAAACTAAATCCTGGTATGAACATTCCCAAATATGTACATACATACATAAGGCTATTTCTAGTATATAAGAACATATCGTCGTTTCAAAACCTCGGTATGTCAGGGTGCTCAAATTTTATGGGAGAGAAGAAAACTAGTCTTATTTTTTTTATCTCCAATTATCTCTTCTTCTTTGTCTAAGTATCGATATTTTAGTTTGAATGGATAAGGGTTTGATGACAGGAGCTTCTAGTGAGCAAATATCTTTTTTGGCACAAAATTCAGTTACGGGGTTTTGCAGAACCACGATACGCGGTTTTGGACTTTAAATGACGATACGTGGTCGGCGGGGACCAGTAGGACGCAGTGGATGAAGCTCCAGACGACTGAAAATACAGCACTCCAGACGGCGACCGGATGTCTTCTGATGTCGCCAGAAGAACACGAGGAGAAAATGCTCCCCATAAAGGAGCACAACACAATGCTCTGCAAGCAATTCCTAGTAGGGAGCCACAGACGTAGACACCCGAGGATCCCTCGCCAAGGCATGCCAGAAGGCATCTATACGAACTGACGCACGAAGTCCAGAGGTTCATAAAGCAACCCCTGGACCCGACAGCATATCGACAGGCCCTGAGCAGCATTTACAAGGAGTCGCTCTAAAGTTACGTACTCCAGTCCTGTGAATGCCGTTCTGGGCACAATCTGACGTGGACGAGACGGAGCTTCGTCTACCTCGGGAGCACAATAGCCCAGTTTCGCTCTGGCTATTGCAGTAGGTTGAACTCATACCTCAGCAGACTAGATCCAGATGTGTCCAATGAGTGTCCGGCATGTGGAGCGATCCCACAAATCATATTCATTCCCACGACACGGTTCTACGTACCGGAATGATTCGGATTTACCTGATTAAGGGCTGTTGTTTCGGCGATCTAACCCCGTTTAGGTCGGTGAAATATCTCACACGTTGTTCGTTCTTAGGGCTATATCCGCTACGTACTCTTCTGCTCAGGGCTGGCATCGAGTCAAACCCTGGGCCTGAAACTTACACCTGCTGTGTATGCCAGAGACGACTACCACAACTCCACCTCAGTCAAGTGCAATGCTTGCAACGGGTAGAGTCACGTGGGAGTCTGCTCAGGACTATGGACATATCGACAGAGGACCACATCATTTGTAGCCCCCTGCTGCTGAAACACAACAGCCTCCACGGTAAACCCCAGTCCGCCTGAGTAGCTCAACACAAATACCACGGCACCACAAGACAACACAATAGACCAAACCACGACAGACCATACAACAGACACGACCGCACCACTACCCATACGCCGCCGCCAACAACTCGTGGTTCCTCAAACAATCTGCACGGTGTGTCAGACCAGAATATTCCGTAATGTGACATCAGTCACGTGCAACACCTGACTTGGTTGGTGTCACTTCAGGGCATGTTCAGATCTGCGCACCACGCAAGGAACTTTGAGGGCCCGTGTTGCGCTGCAGGGTCGCAAGCCCCAATTGCGAGCTACCAACTGCCACCACTGGGCGGCACCTCCCACAGCAGCGCACACAGCCTATGCAGACATCAACCGCAGGGATACCATCCTAGAATGTCAGGGCATTGCTATTCGATCAGGCGATGTCGAGCTCGAAATAATTAACGTTTATAAACCCCCTGTCACCAGCTGCCCGGCAGGATATCACCCTGAAACAGGTGGGCTCCTCAGAGGGGAAAGCCGTATGGTAGTTGGCGACTTTAATGCGCACCAAAATCTTCGGCATTCAAGCCTATCAAACGATCGTAGGGGAAAACACTGAGCAGATGGACGCTTCGACGATGCACAAGCTGCTGCAGCTCGCCAGACATAACAATAGCCAGCGCTTGTCTGATAAGCAGATATCATGGCGACCTATGCTGATCTTGGCATCAGGCCATCTGCCCATAGTCATATCGATTGACAAACCTACTGACTTTGCTTCCGTGGGACACCGGACATATATCAACTTTACTAAAGCGTATTTGAAAACCTTCGCGGAATTTACTGAAAGCACCTTCGCTGCGCTCCCCACATCAACCGACGATCACCTAGGTGAACGCAAGCTCCGCAGGATTGTCACTGCTGCTGCAGCTCGCTTCGTACCAGCAGGTTGTATAACGGACACCCGGACAAATTTCTTGCTAAAGCGGCTGTTTTAGCCGTTGAGCGTGACAACCTTTGTCAGGCCGATACCAGAAATCCTCGTATCAGGAATCTCAACACTTAGATTCGGCAGCTTCTGAACATACAAAAGCGCGANACTGCTGCTGCAGCTCGCTTCGTACCAGCAGGTTGTATAACGGACACCCGTACAAATTTCTTGCTAAAGCGGCTGTTTTAGCCGTTGAGCGTGACAACCTTTGTCAGGCCGATCCCAGAAATCCTCGTATCAGGAATCTCAACACTTAGATTCGGCAGCTTGTGAACATACAAAAGCGCGAGCTATTTTAGCCGACAATTTATACTGGTTCCTCCGGTGGACAAAGTCTAGCGTCGAGTGACCAGATGGCTTCACAAACTGGCAACAACAAGTGTGCCTCTTGTTTTGCTCTGCAAGCAATTCTTAGTAGGGAGCTAGAGACGTGGACACCCAAACAGACACCTGCTTGCAGAGGAGCCCTCGCCATGGCATGCTAGAAGGCATCTTTTCGAACTGACGGACGAAGTTCAGACCTCTGGACCCGCCAGCATATCGACAGGCCCAGAGCGGCATTCACAGGGAGTCAGTCTCAAGTTACGTAGACTCCAGAACTGTGGGACTCGGACCACAACAGTCCAACTTCGCTCTGGCTACTGCAGCAGGTTGAACGCATACCTAAGCAGATGTGCCAAATGTCCCTTTGGACAGACCAAATAGAGCTGCACGCTTCTTGGGTCTTCCGTTAGTTGAGCTTGATGCGACTGAGATATTAACCGATCTGGGCAGGGTTGCTATAGCCGCTACAACAACAACAACCCCACGACTCGAAACATCTCCGCATGCCCACAAAACCCCACTCAGCTGACGTCTTTGTCCCTATGGACAGACCCCAAAGAAGCTGCACGCTTCACTTGTCTCCCGTTAGTTGAGCTTGACGACAAGGACTGAGAGACTAGCCGATATGGGAGGGGTTGTAGCTACAACAACACAACAAACACCACTTGCATCTTTTTGCGACCCCTCCCCAAACTTCATCCTGCTTCAGTTTCCCGACCAATGGCTATTTTTGGCGATCTAACTCCGTTTAGATCGGCGAACGCCATCAATCGGTTTTCGTCCAAGGAGCAATGCCTTGCAGCCGGATTTTTCCGCATGCTTCGTCGGGCGGGCATTGAGCCCAATTACGGACCAGAAATTAACTTCTGCTGCTCCAGCCAAATACGAATTCATCCGAGCTCCACTTCGGTTGAGTGCAACCCTTGCCCAAGCCCAAGATTTCACAGGGAGTGGACCACAAACTTTGTGGCCTCTGTTGCTCTCACTCTCATCATTACCGATGTGTGGAAATCGGAGAGAGTGGACCCACTGCTGTAAACGGTGAAGCCAGCCAAGAAAGGAGTCTATCAACCGATAACGCTCCTTTCCCCGGTCGCGAAGACACTTGAGGCCTTGGTACACCGCTTTTCACATACCACCTGACCCCAATGAAGCATACTTGAAGTGCAAAGCAGCACCACAACATCAGTTAACGCCATAAACTCTCAAATAAATCGTGGCCTTAACCGTAACCGTCCCTGTGAGAGAACAGATGTAGTAGCGCTGGACTACGCTACTATAAGACATTGAGGCTTCCTCTCTCACACAGGGACTCCAACGGCGGTCGGTGAATTATATAAGTAGTCGGCAGTCGTCAGTGACCTTTTAAGAATTAAACTTTAAAACCTAGAATAATTAAGCAAGGAGTTCTACATTGTGGCGTCCTTTCCCCCTACTATTTAACTTCTATATCTCGAAACTTCCTCTGCTACCGGAAAGAATTTTTCTGATGTTGTAACAGCATAAAAATTCCTCAATAATAATCTAGGTCGTTCCGGTTACGTAGACCCGACTGTCGTGGGAACGGGAATTTCCCTGATACGCTAACAACTGTTTGATATTAGCATCCGATGATGACCTCTGTTCAAGGGTAACGAAGGCTACCTCTCCGATACTTCTCCCTTCTCCACTGAAATGAGCCTAACCCTCATACCGACGAAATCAACGGAAACCTTCTTCACCACCTAGACGAAAGAGGTCAGGCATCAATCATCATTTAGGGGTCACCTTTGATGGTCTGTTTTCCTTCTCCACACGCAGAACCATCGAGGGGATGAGAAATTTGATCTTGGAGGGAGCCACGGTCGGCGCCGCCTTAGAAGTGAAGTACCTGGGATTCGAAACTCCTGTGGAGGACTCATGTCGAGGCGGTCAGGGCTACGAGAGCGCTGATGATAGTAAAACCAACAGCAACCTACGGGGCAGTGTCTTGGGCTTCCAGGACTACTCTAGCAAAGGTGAGGCAGTCCCTGACCAACGCCTGGCGTATGTTTGCATTAAGGGAGTAGGGGGACGCTGGAGGTAATGCTGGAACTTGGGCCACTGTCGAACAGGCAGCAAACCGGACTCTCCTTAATTTTGCGATAGGGCTTTGGAAAAGGTAAGGGTTTGTCTTCTAGGAACAGGAACAGCCTAGGCTCGCAGCATCCTCTTATTCTGCTCCCCAGGAATGGCAGGCATAAAGTAGTGGTTTTATAAAAACTATAAGGTTTAAGCACACAGAAAGGCTGGGTGGAGTACCTCTATCATGGAAAAATACGTCCAGGTGAGCACATTAGGGTGGTAATAGATGACCCTAAAACTTCTGAGGGGATAGAAGCAGATGTTTATGGCGCTGGAAAAAAGCTTTCGGTGCCCCAGAATATTTCAAACGGAAGTCTGTGTGCTCAGATTAATTTTCGAAGAAAGTATCGAAGCGAGAGGATCCTGATTTTAAGCGATAGCCAGGTGGCACTCAAAGCTCTCTCATCCTTCGACAGCAAATCCTCGGTCGTTCTGGAGTGTGTAGAGAGGCTTAATGCTCTGGCTGAGGATAATACCCTCCAATTGCTATGGGTGCACATATGAGTCGAAGGCATTGAGGAAGCGGACCATCTGGCCAGATTGGCTGCTGCCATGGCCTCTATTGGACCGGAGCCCTTTCTTGAAATAGATCTCAACACGATAATGGAAGTGCTCAAAAAGGAAAACACCACGCTACGATGCGATAGGCAAATACGTCATAAGTAATACGCTGCGGCGATTGCCTATCGCATCGCAATTCTCTTTCGCATCGCATTACAGAGTAGCCC